GCGGCTGGGGAAGAAGCTGGTGCACTTGATCAGAATGTCGAGTATCTTGGAGGATAGCTCCGTTTCGTCGTAGAGCGGCGTGCCCTTGGCTATAAGGCACCACTTGAGCTGGGGGATTTGCTGCAGAGACCGCCAGCCATCCATGCCAATAGCCCAGCAACGGGTCTTCGGTGTGATTAGTCCTTTGTGCCAGAGCTCTTTCAGCTCCGAGTACGTGATGGGTCCCTGGCGCTCGGGCTTCTGTCCGTCCTTCTCGATGTTGTAATACCAATCCTTCTCCTCGTATGCCGCCATATTTGGACCGGCCTCAATGACATTTGTTTTCGTATTCAGTTGGGCGCGTCCCTTGTGCAGGTGGGCGAGGGTGATGAGATCCACCAGGCACTGTACGTGATCGATGAGGGCCCGGCAGTTGGATTTCTCCAGCACCAGGCAGGAAATCAAGTTTATCAGTGCATCGCGCATTGAGGGGGAAAGGCACTAGAGTAGAGGCAATCGTTGAGGTATATCGTATGAAAACTATAACTAATTTACTTACCCTGTCGCTGAGTTGCAGAATGTACGACATGTCGTTGAACTTTCCGATATCTTGGTGGTAGCGCCTGTAGACCTTGGCCAGCGCCTGCAGGGAGAAGACGGTCATCTGGTCGTCATTCACTCGCTGTCGGCACAGAACACGCCGATATAAAGCATTGAAAAGCTCAATACTACATAGAATAATGAGAGCCATTTAATCCCCTGATCCCTGATCGGTAAGACCTGGATACTCACGGATCCTTCACCAGATTCTGCGGCCAGTCGTCCTTCTCCAGTATCAGTCGTATGTAGTAGTCGCCAATTTTGATTTCATCTGCCAGACATTGGTAGGCTACCTCGAATTCCTGGTAGTTCCAGGCTACAATCATCTGACCAGCCAAGTCTCGATCGTTTAGGAACTGCCTTAGCTCATTTTCCAAGCACATGCGCAGCTCTTCGCGCGTCTGCAAAAGAGACATGTCAGAACAAACACATTGGGAATGGGTCTTCCCCTCACCTTGTGGTTCCAGATGAGATTTGGCAGACTGTGATCTTTGGCAAAGCTGTAGAAGAAGTAGGGCAAATTCACAATGGCATCGGAGGTCTTTTTTTTCTGCCGGCGATTGCGCAGAACCACTGGACGATTCTTCAGAGCCTGCGCTGCCCCATCCTGCTGTTCGATCAGATTCATGCCCCAATGCTTGATGCCTTGCAAATGCTTCTCTATCACATTCTTGCGTGTTCTGTTGGAATGTTGTATTGCAAACTTGAGGTTATCGCGGAAATTGAGCTTATCCTCCTCCACATCCGTCTCCGGCACGCCATCCTCGGACTCCAGGAAGGTCAAGAGGCCAGCGGGCTAAGCAAATAGATTTATGTAAATAATTTTGGCAGAACCCTCGAAGACAGCAACTCACGAAAATACGCTTGAACAGCTCCAGGGCCTCCTCGCTGTCCGTCAGCCATAACCCAATCAGATGGCGTGACAGCTGTCGATGCGTAGTCAGAGTGGGATCATTAGAGGGCGTATACAGCGCCACCAGCAGGTGCCGGCACAAGGCCGCCTCGTCTAGGGCTAGGGCCTGCATCTGCTGAGCCACCTGCAGCTCCCCCTCCTCGATGATGGCCCGCAAGACCAGGCCAGCTCCCTTAACGATCGCCAGCGAGGGGTGCTGAAACAATTTGTACAAGTAGCGACCACGATCGGCGACCAACTCTAGCAGCGTATCGAACTGCTTGCCGTCGGTCGTTTCGCTGTAAGGCACACATAACGCGAAGGTCATGAAATCCAGCATGGCCGACAGAACAAGGGCTCCACTGCCATGGCTCTGCGAAATAAAGGAGTTGATAGGAAATGTTTTACGTTGCGAATTGCCATGCTGAACGTACTACATGTGTTGTCCACATATTGAGCAGGGTTTCCAGAAATGATTTCGATGACAGTATGGAGGATTTATTCAGCTGCTCCTGCTTCAGGTCATGGTCAGTGTTCACCGAATGCATCAGGGAGTTGATCATGTCAATGGCAGAGTATGTAACAGCCAGATCCTTGCGTCGCAAAGCAGCCACAACCTTAGTACCAATGATCTCGCGAAATCTAGAAACGCATCCAAATGAAAGTAAATTAAATTAAAGCTGGAAATTGACGCTTTTCTGTGTGGAATGCAGACCCCGTTAGATTGGTGAAGGCTGCATAGCCGACTTTGCTGGCCAGGAGACGAGTCAGGGCGTGAAATATGGCCTCCAGCTCCAGGTTGCTCAGCTGTGCAGTGGGACTGTCCAGCTCCTTTTGTGCCAACGCTTGCAGCGCACTCAATATGAGCTTCTCCTTGTTCTCCGCAAACAGACTCTGGAATGGCAAATGAAAATGCTGCAGAAGGGTAATCAAACGATTCCTTTGGGGCTACCCACGTCCTGCGTCACACTGTAGTTGAGCCCACTGTGCGGCACATTGGCATTGAAACGCTCCAGGATCTCGTAACGCTTCGAGGGATTTTGGAAATTGTTGATGACCAAGCGCAACAAGTTGGCCTCCGTTTCCTCGTCCACGGAGCTGCTCAGGGGGACGTATCTCTTGCCTCTGGGCGTGTTGCTGATGCGTATGTGTACATCCTGATTACCGCTGGAGCGCACCGCATCCAGCAGAGTGGCCAGCAGGGAGTCCCTGTCGTTGGTACTATAACTGCGCACGATTCCGTTCTTGTACTCGATGCTAAAGCGCTGCAGACTGTCCTTGTCGCGAACCAGAGCAAACACATCGGTGAGTGGGCGCAGAGTGCAGACACTGTAGGTCTGGGGATCCCTCTCCAGAAGCGTGACTTCGGTAAGGCAGAGTATGCGCTTCACGGGATCCGGATGGCGTAACGTTATCTTTTGCACTGTGAACTCGGTCATCGACGTTTGAAATTGATCGTCACTACGGAGGAAGCAGAAAAAAATATTTCTTTACTGAAATGAACACACTTTCTCCACTCCCTGTGTCTAACCTGAACTTGCCAAATCGCTGCCTCTCGAACTGCTCGAGTGTTATCTGGCTCTTGAGTATTTTGGTTTCGATGCCCAGGAACTGAGCCGAACTCTGGGCAATATTCTGCACGATTTCGTGGTGATTCAGGGCTTTGAACAAGTGCAGGCGACTGAAGCCGCCGTAGGCCATCACAATGCCGCCCTCATAGTCCGATATGCCTGCTTAAAACGTGCGCAAACGTAAACAAAGACCATAAAGATGAGTGCAAGGACAGCCGAAAACAAAGCGTACACATTGAATTAAAATTGTGAAACATGGCGACAGAACGAAACAGTACAACTGCACATCACGCAAGAGAGCCGAGTCTGTATAGCTACCTATTATTCCCTCAATGTCCTTGTACATGTAGCTGGCGAGCACATCGTTTGTGGTGGGGTCCAGCTGGTCCAGAGAACAAGGCGTCACCTCCAGCACAGTGGGCAGGCTGATGCCCGACCAGTGGTACTTGTACGCACTGAAGCGCTGTGAAGAAACATTTCCATAACTGACGACATGAGTCATAAACGGATGTTGGGCAAACCTGAGTGTTTTTCGGTTTATCGGCAAACTCTTTGTAGTATTTCAATATAGAGCTGAGTATGTCATTGCGATATTCCGAAGATAATTTGATTGTATCCAGCTTCTTGTCTTTCTTGATGGTCAGCACAAACTCATTGGGTATCTGAAAAACGGATTTTGGTGGATTTGGTCATTTAAATCGCCATATAGGCCAGTCAGTACATACATTTGAGGTCTTGGTGGGGGCTGCCGCCACAATATCCGAGTAGGACCAGCGATTCGTTAAATCGAATTTATCTGGATTGTAGGTGGAGATGCCGGCTGTGCCGATGGAGAGGATGCGCTTGTACTTGCCCTTCCAGGAGTGCTTGGTCACCAGAAAGCACTCCAGGTCGACGTTTTCCCGGGGCGGCAACATCGTGTCTTGCAGCTGTCTCGTCAGTGAATCCAACTAAATTCCAGCTTTGCACCAACTGCGGGAAAGAGAGAGAGTGTGGGAAATTTGTCTTAATTGGAATTTCTGGCATAGACGGTCGGTGCGCGGCGCCGCAGCTCAGCTGATTCGTTCACGGGTCGGGTCGGCGTCCAAAATATCCAATTGACTTGCCCATTGCCGGGGCACTGATTAATTAAGTTGACTGCGCCTGGCCCTGCCACTTATCAGCCAGCAGAAGTGCCAACGCCGCGGAGCACTACACTCAACAAAGACCCGAAAAGGGGGAGTTAACGTGACGAGTAACACGACGATGCCCCATGGAAATGGATCCCAGCTGGTGAGATGGAGTTCTGGAGTGCGGCTCCAGGGTTTTTCGAGGCTCACCTTAAACATCTAGCACATTTCCGCTTATAAAACCAATTAAATGTTCTAATATTTCTATTTGCAGATTTTTGCAATAAACAATTTATCAGTAATCGGTAACACAGCACTTAAAAGATGGCGTTTTTGAACACTGGAGATAGTGTAGCCTTAACTGCGAGAAATACCAAATGCCGCAGCAAAAGGTAATGATATTCAGAATTAGGTGCTGTTAGGCGCAAGTCAGCCGCACTTACAACATGGTTCGTTTCAGTTCAGTTCGGTGGTTCCAGAAAATACAGGAACCAAATCAAACGAACACTTTACAGGACCCTAATTTTCGCGCCTTGCGATAAATTCAAACGCAATCATTAATTTCCATCTAGGAAAACATTGGACTTCCGGACGCACTTGGATGTGTTTGATCTGAACCCCGAGCGCAGCTCACCTGATCCGGCCACTTCTATGATCGCAATAAAACACTTCTAACTTTTGGCTTAACTACAATTAAAACTTTATTTTTCATTTCGTATTGCATAAAACGTACGGTACGTATTTTTATCTAAATTAAATGCAAATAAAGATGGCAATGTGTGTGTGTGTGTGTGTATAAGAATTCCAAGATAAAACAATCTCGCCAACAAAAGTAAATAAGGCAAACAATAACGAGAAAACGATTCGTATTTTACACAAATGTATAGGGTCTATAATGGTAGGGGCAGCATGGGATGCTGCACTATCTCCACGCCACCTAGATAATGTTGATGATAAGGTTACGAGTATGAATGCGAAGGTGCGGCCATATAAATTCACGCACTGACCCCGATCTCGTCTTATCCAGAATTTACGGGCACAAGTGTTGACAGGGACTCGGTGCAAACAAACAGAAGATCGTGTGCCTGATGGATGGATGGATGGATGGAACACGATGAGGATGCAAAGTCTTAGACAAATGTTAAGTTGAAATCCTAAGCATAGATATCGTGGTTATCTTTCAACAACACGAACATGGAATGAACATAAACATATTTCCTTTTAGCTTTACAAAAGTTGCTCAGACTGGGAGGGGAAATTGGAATGATTTGAATATAGCAGATGGCTGGCCAGGCCTCTGGTGTTTTGGGTGGCAGGTCAGCAGGAACACTTGTTTTTGGTTTCCGTGCCAGTTGCATCGCTGGTGCTGTTCAGGTTGAACTTGTCACCGTCGGCCAGGTCGCCAGTTATCAGCTTATCGTTGATGAGTATCTGTAAACGAGACACGGACACATAAGACAGGGTATGGCCATCCAGGAGCATAGATCTCTTACCTTATTCACAAGGGCGCGGGACGCTTCATCGATGTTGATGTTCTCCTTGGCGGATGTCTCGAACCAGCCGGCGAACCCGTTCTCCCGCACATACTCATCCATCTTCTCCGGATTCGTGATGATGCCCTGCTTCTCTTGATCGCACTACGAACACAAAGGGATCAATTAGGAAAGTCTCATCCCACCTCAGTCCCGCTTCCCACTCCTCGCCGCCCACTCACCTTATTGGCCAGCAGTATGCAGGGTATGGGACTCCCGTCTGGCAGCTGCACCTTCGAATCCAGATCCTCCTTCCACTTGCTCACACAATCGAAGGTTCCGCTGCGTGTCACGTCGAACACGATGAACGCCCCCACCGCCTCCTTGTAGTAGACTCGCGTCATATTGCCGAATCTCTCCTGGCCGGCGATGTCCCACAGCTGCAGGCGCACTATCGTGTTGCCATCCCACTGGAGCACCTTCAGGGCGAAGTCCACGCCAATGGTGGCCCGATAGTTTTGGCTGAAGAACTGGTGCACGTAGCGCTTGATGAAGGACGTCTTTCCTGTGCCTAGCTCGCCGATGACTAGAATTTTGTACAGATGTTCTCGTTTCTCGCTGGTTGACGTCATGATGGCCTGGAAAGATTGAAAATAATGGATTTTTAGCAAGCGGATCGGAATAGCCTATTCTACATATGTTATGGATTAATCTATGTACAATAGCTTCGGAGTATTTTCACTTCAATCCGAACCTCTTGGGGCTATGCAAAGCGGTTTCTTTATCGTTCAAATGAACACTGTGATTTAATAGTCGATTGTCTAGAGCTCTCATCCGCGCAGTTGAATGACACGCACACACACGCACGAGCAGAGCCTCCCACGAAAAGGGGGCCGATAAACAGCCGTCGAGGGCAGGCACACAGAGGCAACACGACACTTGTGGGGCTTCGGTTGTAAATCAACGAGGTAAACAGTTGGGCGACACCTTACCGGTTCCATTTCCTGATCCATGGTCAGGTCACCAAAGGCCGGCATGGGGTTCGCAGGGGCTGGATCTTTGACGGACTGCTCCTCGCTCTCCGAGGACACGGAGTCCTCGTTCGAGTACTCGCTGGCCACGGAGTGATAGTGCAGGGTCTCCCTTCTGCCCTCGATGCTGTCGTGGTCACTCAGAACGAGCTGCTGCTGGGCAAAGCTAAGTCGCCGGAGACTGGAGTCGCTGGGTTCTTCGCTGGAGCTGGGCGGCTGATTGGCTAACGCGGCTACGGCAGCCTCGTATGCACTGAGGGGACTGCGCACGGCGCTACCTACGGCGAAACGGACTACGGGCGATGGATTGACGGCCTGGGCGCTCTCCGCTGAGGACACGGCGTCGTCGGCAGACTGCTCGTTCACGACTGGCAGGGGTGGGGGCGGACACGTGGGCGGCTCCGGCTCTGGACTGGGTGGCGCCTCTAGGGCCGGCACTTGGTTGCTCTCTGGGGTGGCCACCGTTGTGGCGTTGGTGGCGACTTGTCTCGAAAGGCGGTGTCCGCGCTGCTGCTGTTGTTGCAGCAATTCCAGCTTCTTGCTGGAGGATGACTTGCGAACTGCTCCGGTGCTGCTGGCAGACTGAACCTGAACGCGACTCGGCTTGGCCGGGGCCCGCTCTCTGGGCGGCGTATCTCGTGTGCTCTCGGTGATAGCGATTTTCCCTCCTGCCTCTGCAGCAGTCGCGAGTCGTTCTGTCGCTGCGGCTGTCGCTGCCTTTGCCTCTGCTGGCTTGGGGGTCGACTGTTGCTTCTTCTTGGCCACAATCAGCTTTGTCGTCCGAGTGCTGCTCGTGTCTTTGGTAGTCACCGTTGTGGTAGTGGTCGCCTTTTTCTTTCCACCCGCTGTGGCTTTGCCCGTCGACGCCTCTGTCGTTGGTGTCAGGTAATCCGTCTCGCTGGCTGAGCTCTTGGCCCGAGTCTTGCTGCGGCTCTTGGCTTTGGCTGGCTCGACTTTCTTCCCACTTATGGTTATCTGGAGGAGGGTGCCGCTGCTGCTGGCGGATGGTGCACTGGTGGCTGGGTCCGGGTCCTCGTCTGGAGCTGTCTCCACCCGCTCGAGGCTGCTGTCTACCACGCTGATCTCATCGCTGGTGGCCAGGCTGTGTGGTCGAACCTTTGGGGTCTTCTTCAGACCGCCCAGCAGCAGGCGGCGGGTCAGACTCTTCTTCTTCAGCGTCTTCCCAGCGGCTCCGCTGTCGGTGCTGTCGACGTCCTCCAGCTGCGTGGGTGCTTCCTCCTCGCTCTTGGCTTCTTGTTCCTTTTCCTTCTTGGCCTTCGGCTTGGAGAGACTACGAAAGGCGGCCGAGAAGCGTGAACGGGTCTTGATTTTGGAGCTGGTGTCCTCCTCCTCCTCTTTCTGCCCCTTCTCCTCCTCCCTGTCCTTTCTTACCACCAAGTGCTCGCTCTCCGCTGGCAACGGTTCTGATTCGGGTTCTGGTTCCACTTTCTGTATGGCTTTTCCCCGCTGCTTTTCGACGTTTTGCATATTTTCACCTAGGGCTAAACCTGGGGCCTGTTCTTCAAAGAGAGACTCTGCCGTGGGGCTAAACGGAGACTTCCATGGGGTCGTGTCGTGTACTATCCTGTCTGTCCTGGGATCCTGCAAGGGATCTCGATATCCTGAGCGAATTGAGCAACCGCAATGCAGTCAAAACAATCGCGCACTGAAATCCAAATTGTTGACGTCTAGGCTTTTATAAATTTTATTAAGCCCAGTCGTCTGTCTGTCCCTCTCCCCTTTCCCCTGCCCCCGACAGCACCGTTTTGTGGTCGGTTTTACATTACAGTTATACACAAAAAACCAGCCAAAGTGTGTGCGCTTACCAACACTGGTCCGGGACAGTCGAAATATTGCGAAATGATCGTGAGAAGAGCGGCGGCTTTTGAATGCCGCGATTGAGTCTGGGGCAGCCGCTTATCAAGCAATCCTCGGACAAAGCCAGGTCTGTGTCCGTCTCGACCAAATGGCCGACTGAATGCAGCCGCCTGTCTGTCCACCGGCTGGCCATGCTCCCGAATCAATCGACTCTATCATTGAAATTATGGCGATGTGTGCCGGGCGGGGGCTCAATCATCTAGCACAGTCGATCAAGCGTACTGTATGACAGTGTCCATTTCTGGGCCGAAATGGAATGGACTGCTCCGGAGTGGACGTACCTGACCTAGCCCAGCCGCCAGCCCCAACCGAGAAGTGTTCATTCACGCACTTCGGTGGCTTCCTTTAAGCTGAGGATTTGACGCATCAACTTGCCCCAAAAGAGTCGCTCAGCATTAAGTGGGAGACACACATCAATGAGGTGGGTGGGTGCCGTTGGTGGTGTCTTTGAATGATTGCTGTTGCTGCTACGTGACTATATAGAATTACGCTTATTACAAAACGTGGTTAGCCGCAGTGCAGGCAGAGAGGGGACACAGGTATATAAGATTACACAAGTATAAACCCATAAGCGAAGACTGGATGGCACACATGGGGGAACTCGTATCGAGATAGATCTACATATATTCCCCCGACAGATATGCGGAACTGGGGACCGATGTCACAACACTACCTTATATGGAAGGACAGACTTCTATCGTGTGTTGGGCACCTTTGCGGTTCAATTAGGTATTCACTGGGGGCAAAAAATGTAAATATTCCGATGTAAATCTTCTCATGTGTAATTCAGTCTAAAATAAAGCTTTCTCTCAGTGTAATAAATGGGAAATGGGATACATAATGCGTAGATTCGTGCTGTCTGTCTACAGCTTCCTCGATATGCACATATTGAAATCGGGGACAACTATTTCAACACTCGAATCCCGCACAGGCAACAGCTTACATAATTCATGGGGCTCCAGTCGTGGTATGGCATGAAGTCGGGAGAATCCAACGGCACCTCTTTACGGCTTTTCAGGCCATTGAAACCGAAAGCATTAGAAATTCACTTTCCACATAAATGTCGAACGGCGAGGAGGGATCGGAGTCCCCCTTTGTCCATGCAAATGTTTGCACGCAATCGACCGCTCCAGGAGCAGGGCATAGGCATGTGAGGAGTCTGCAATTACCCCAACGACCCCATTCCGCACAAAAGCCACACGGATGCCAGAGGCGATGGTTGGGCTGAGCTCGGCTAAACGTCGAAATCAAAGACCAAACCAGGAGCCCCCGCCCCCAGGGGCTCAGCCATCAAATGCTTTTGTATTATAAAACAAGGACTAAACACGTGGGCAAGTTTCTGCAAGGGGCGGCAGTTGCATGCCGCACGACACGTGAGCACGTACAGAATATCTTAAAATTTTCTTACTTTCAGAGTTTCATTATAAATTCCTGCAGACTATTATAAATAGTTTACAAAGTGAGAACAATTAAATGTTATACAATATTCAAAACACACTCTTTAAATCTTTTTGAAAACCTTTTGCCATTTCGTGCCACATCGATTTGATACGGAAATATTTTTTTAGGATTAGCATTTCTTTGTCGTCTAATGTCCATGTTTCAGATACAAATGTACAATTTTAAACAGAAGCTTTGCTAGCGTTCAAGATTGAAATGTAGTTTGTAATCAAGTGACACATTCATAAACCCCAACCTTGGGGACTAATTAATGGCACATAAATGGGCTCCAACTGGAAAATATACATGAAATCTACACGAATTCTACACCGATTTGGTAGCCTGAATGTATGCTGTGATATTTTTTGTACTGTACCATGTAGTTATCATGTAGATTTTGTGTGTAGCTAAAGCTAATATTCATAAAGATTTGCGCCCTTAGCTTGCGGGTGTGTGAGAGTTTATGATCTTGCAATTAACTATATTATAGACTGAATGTATGTATATCTATCAGATTTATGAAAAATGTAGCACGTAAATCACCTAAAACGATGTACACAGTGCATAAAGTCTACAAAGTCTATAAAAACCACGATTTCACAGGCTATATATACAACGGGCGTTTAGCGAGAGTCGTTTCTGTTTGATTAGATTAATTTGTTGCGGGCTTAACACCTCTAGGGTAACTGCATCTCAATTACGGTATAATATTACCCGGCGATATAAAGATAGCTCGAAATGCGCGCTTCACCTTGCGTGATTTCAGGTCAGACATATTGATGTGACTCTCCGCCATTATGGATTATTATACTGGAGGATGCTTATCAGCCGCGATTGCTCTGGCAATTGTCATGTAAATGAAATCAGCCCGCCACAGCAGCACAACAGAAAGTGCATTGCCTTAGCCAGCGATCCGCGATGCGACTGCGAGAGAGATTACATAAGGAGATGATATCTCCCCGGACACCACGCGTCCGCCCCATTCCTCAATGGACTCTGCACACGCAGCCCTCTGCTCCATGTCCCATCGCAGTTGGCGTGGAGTGCCAGGCAGCCCATATCTTATCACTGGCAGGCGGAGGAGGAGTCACCAGCAAAAATATGAGCAACGTCTGATTAGATTGTACGGAAAATGCATTGCAACCTTGTGATTCATGGACTGGGATACTCGTAAAAGTGTGTGTCTCTGTGTGTGTGTGCGTGTAATGTATAATTGAAACAATTTGAATTTCTTGCATTAATTAAGGTTCTCCCCCACTCCCCCACTGCCCCATCCACTTCCTCGTGCGATTCCGCCTACACACTTTCGCTTACTTCGTTCAATAATTGACCTTAAAACGTGACGATATGTTAAACGGTAGCAACTCATTCCCATAGCCATAACCCTTACCATTCTCATTCCGATTCCCATTATAGTTTCTCATCAGCAGCCAGCGGATATCTATATCTATGTCTAGCTACAACCAGCAATCACTTAAGTAGCCGAGCACACCCACATGGTTTGCCCCCGTCACCCCCTTCTTCGTCTTCGCTGTCACAGCTTGTCCGTCGATGTTGCGTATGGGGCATGCCATGACGAGAGTGAAATTTTTGTGGTGCTCCCTTTTGGGTTCGCCCCCCAGTACCGGCGACAATTTTCAGCTTGGTATTGTTTTGATTTCATCGCTTTGTTTATACCACGTTCGGTCTCAAATGTGGCAACGAATTCAATTTCATTTCCATTTAATTGGTCGGTTAATGGCTGGGGGGAGGCGGCATTTGTATTGGCCAAGATAAGACACAAAGCGATTGCGAAAACGAGTAGGCTAAACGCGATGTGGGCAACATTAACACTGAACTGAATTCTGAGGGATAGAATGTTTACACAGTTTATAAGATATTTAAGATAAATTTCAGTCTTATAAACAACAATACTTTTAACGATGCAGAAGAATGCTTGGTTGATTTACATACAATTTCCTACAATTACTGGATATAAGCTTGTTGTATACGCAGCAATTCGATTCCCTCAAGCTGCGGGAAATACCATGATGACGCCTTATTCCAGGCATCTGTTTCGGTTACAAGTCCCAGCTGGGGGCAGCTAACGAGTTTACCGAGTTCTCCGGACTACTAAGTGCCAAATGAGAGTAATGTACAAGCCATAAGTTGCGTCGCTAACTTACGGGCTGACCAAGCAAAAAGCAATTCATTTCTAAACTTGGACCACTTATTTTTGGGCAATACCCCATTCCCCAACACTGGGCTTAAGCGTGCATTTTGAATGTGGTTCGCATAAATAAACGTGCCTCGGCATGACTACTGTACGCCTGATCGAGATACTCACTCCGTTGTGCAGGTAGCCGTTGTTTCGGTTGATGTCCATGCTGGTTCGTGTGGCCGCGGGAATGTCCGATGCGAGAGGAAGCGCCTCGACGGCGCAGAGATCGATCTCCGGCTGGCGGTCGATGTACGAGGGCGACGCACTGCGCAGCGAGAACGGGGGGGAGCTGATGACAGGCGCAGGCGGCTGCTGTTCCTCCTGGGGCAGGATCAAGTGCTGGCGGCGCACAAAGATGGGCGACTCCTTGGTGCTCAGGGTGCCCAGGGAAATGGCACTGAGGGGATGATGTTTATGCTCCACGGGCAACGTGTCGTCAGAAAAGTTGGTGGTGCTGGTCACGATTACCTTTTTGGCCAGGTAGTGGCAACGTAGACAGGCACACCCACCGAGATGGCTGTACGACTGGGACTTGAGCGGAAGAGTTCCAAGACCGGAGGACTCTTTGGCCAGGCAGTCGCAGATGTTGCGGCGTCCGGCGGAGGTTGAGACAACACTGCTCCGTATGACGCTGGTTGCCATGCAACTCCAGATGCAGATAGATGCTCTTTAGACTTTGGAAAATGACCGGGCTCGCTTGCTCGTGCTCTTGCACTTTTATCGCACTCCCTCTACAGTCAAGGTCGCTCACACACACGCTCGTTCTGTGCCTCGTCTCTGTCTATTCAACTATTCAGTGGATTTTCGAGTGTTTTGTTTGATTGTCTCGTTCACTCACACACGTATCACATATCAGCAAGCTGGCGGCGGCAACATGTGGTTCTGTTCTCCTAGCTCTAATTGCCCCCCGTCTCCTGCTCGCACGCGCTTTGTCGCAAGCTTCGCTTCTGTTTCAACGGTAAACAAAGCTCTATGTCTGCACTTGAACTTATCAGAATTATCAGGTATTTATACTCGATTTCACTGCAATTTCGGGCCTGATGGGGCCAGAGGTTGTCGTTATCGCTGCAGGGGGAGGTTTATTGAACTCGACTGTGCACTTTTTTGGACAATTTATTTGTGTATTTGGCGTGAGTGCAGGCGAAACTGGTTTCGTTGACGATGCAAATGGAAGAAATGGAGCACTTTTGGTTTTGGTGATCACCACCAACTAGTCTCTTGCATAAGCTTAAACGGTTTCGATTGTGCTCGGATTGCGGTATGGTATGGGGCTCTTGGCGCTAATTCTATATCACGGAATGGATTGGAATTCACACACGAACGAAATAGGCAAACAACCAAACAGCGACGAACATAACAAAGTGCAGCTGTCAACGTCCGCCAGCCACAACTTTTACGGTAAAAATGAACTGGGCGAACGTTAAGCAAGAGAGACAAACGAAATCGAAAGCATGGGCAACTTCGAAAGCTTTCGCATGAAGCTTTCGTAAGCACTATACAAATACCCGTTAAACAACCGCCGATTTGACAGCGATTGATAATCTAAATAGCGATTATTTTGGGGTTTATCGATTCCAATGAAGCTTTCGATTGACATGCGGAAGTTAAAAACAGACGGTTTTGTTTTAGTTATTATTATAAGCTTACCCTGACAATGTACGATGCCTGATGGAGGCTGTTGCATTTTGATCTTATTTAAACATTTATTTACATTTATATTTCAATTATGGACTACAAAATAAATTGTTTGTTTGGGTATCAGCAATCACTTACGGTTTGACAGACGTAGCCAAATCTGCCAAGTGGCTAAACACCGTAGGAACAACAGATGTACGAATAGACTAAAGAATCGTTCAACACCATCAGAAATAGGAACAGTTTCCAGTGCTCAACACTTGTGCAGCTGCCCTGCGACTACTGGTATAATGTAATGCGATATAGAGGTACACTTCTTAATTATAAACTAGAGGAATCCTGAATCGTAAGTTTTTGCGAGTTTGGTTTTAGTCGATTTAATTGTCCTTCTTTATAGCTTGTGTCTGACCCTCGGCACTTTTTCGTTTGGCCAGCATGTAATGCGATACGTTTTCGTACACGAGGAACGTGATCATGCACGCGGGTATCACACGCGTCAGGTTAGGCTGCAGGCCCTTGTAGAAGCCGTTGAGGCCTTCGAATCTGCAATGAAACGAAACATGGATAGGGGGTTAGTGACTGTGATGAGGTGGCTACAATTACTTACAGTACAACGCGTTGGCTGTTTCAGTTTAGCAAAGAGATTCTGCACAAGTTACGAGAATTGGAAATAGAAAGAGAGGAGCACGGACTACTTACAACATAGCGTACGGCTGAAGCTGAAGCCCATAGCCCTTGGCCAAATTAAAAGACTCTGGTTGGACCCGAGACGTTCTTCAGTTTGTTGTTTTTTTTAGTGTCCTTTTGGATTGCCATCATGGCATTTTAATATAGGTAAGTAACTAGTTTTGTATTTTCTTCTCTTGGTTGTATGGTTTGATTGGGATTGTTCTGCTTCAGCAGCTTAGTTGGTGGTTCACAATGCGTTTTATGCTTATTTACATAAGTGTCAAGGTTCATTTCATCCTTAAGATTATAAACCATTTGCGAAACTATGAAGAATCTTTTTGCCAAAACGAAATTTTGTCTCAACTAAACTAGAAACTGGTTTCAGCTGCGTTTACAATTCCAATCCATTACAAAATAAATAATTTAACTAAACTATGAACTAAATGTGTGTGTGTGGCTGTGTGTTGCTTCGGTGAAGTGTGCAAGAAATGCATCTTTGAATTTACATACCATCACAACAATAACTTTCAACGTGAAGATGCGCAGAACGTAAAACAAACTAGTTATGGATTTAACTTAGGGCTAGTATTTAGGTGGTTCTTAATCGAATTATAACAATAATACAAAACATGTCATTTTTGTTGCTGTTTGCTGCACATTGGAGGAAACTAGAAAGATTCGTGTATTCTAGGTGCTTAAATTCTGTTCCAGATTCTAGATCATAATTCCTAGATTCTAGATCCTAGGTTCTGGTTAATACTCTATCTAGCTGGTCAGCTTCTCCCAGATCAGCATGACCATGCAGATGTTGGGCGTGACGTGGACCAGGTACGGCACAAGTCCCTTATAGAAACCGCGCATGCGTTCGTACCTCCAAGTCTGTTTAATGCAGTCCCAGGTGCCGCTGTAGCGGTGGTGGTGATCCTGCAGGCGGGCACGCACCACCTGGTACGGGTATGTGGCTGCAGCCGCAATCAGCTTGGAGACGGCCGCAAAGGCCAAGTACTCGGTGGTGGCCTGTGGATGGAAAGCGATCAACGGTTAGAAATGCGAGCGAAAAGAAATTTTCTTGAACAGCTGCCAAATCGCTCAGACGTCACCAAAGAGCAGCCGCAGCCGGATATATACAGATATGGATGTGCCTATACTATATCTGCATGTATATATTATATCGGATGGCAACGGCACGAGCAACCTGGTCATGTGATGCTGTTCTCCACTGATTTGTATACACACCAGTTTCGTATCGATGGGCAGCTTGCGGTATTCGTTGTAGGCATTCTTCATCTCCTCGTAGGTCATGAACTGAATGGCTCCGTGTGAGACGCCCAGCATGCCGGGAACGAACCCTCTGTACAATCCCCGGACACCCTCCTCCTTGTAGATCTGGCTCAGAGCATGTACCATTCCCCGGTACTCGGCACTGGCCGAGGAGTCACACTGCAGACACAGGCGCGTCTTTACCACCCAAATGGGATTGGTTAGGAGCAGGGTGAGGGCTCCAGACTCGGCGGCAGCCAGCATGTGCATGGCGGGACCCAGTGGCATTGTTGTATTACCGCCCTGGATGAATGTTTTGATGGTGTTGTAGCTGCAAGTGACAAGGGAAGTTTTAATCGATGGTTTCTTCGAGACAAATGCAAGTTCAGATCCACTTACAACATGAAGTACAGTCCCCAGGAGGAGCCCGATCCCCATACATTGGGGGTGACACCCTTGTAGAGCCCTCGAAAGCCCTCTTGGCGGAATATGGTGGTAAAGGCGCTGCCCAATCCACGATACTGGGGCACCGTCGCTGTCCGTCCATCGTTAACTAAAAGTAGACAATCGAAACGGAAAAACCGTTGTGATAAATACGTCTAGACAGGGCAGTAAAAATCGTGTCATCATATAGTTGGATAATTGGGCAGGAGGGCACGGTAAGGCTAGGATACGTCATCCCGTTGCTTGTTCTTTACCGTAGGCAACTGTACGGCCATCGGCTCGGTACAGCACGGCCCGGAATGGACGGCAAATCAGTTGTTGACTCCAACAGGCCCTGGCCAAAGTTGTTTTCGCCCAACAGATAGCGTTAATTGCCAGCGGATGCGATAAGCAGGGAGAGTCGAAATGAGCTCTACATTTTTACGCGTCCATTAGCATCTATTTATATGAAAATATGTATGCACGAGCACGGTAGTAGCGGGAGCTGGCCTGACAACAGCGCCACAAGCCAGAAAGGGGGCTCGTCTTTTGCCAGAACTTTCAGTATTCTCAATTTTTGTATTTTTTAGCTATTTTTAGTTGCCCCATGAGTGACCTTGAGCGATGGCACTAACTGGCTGCTGCTCGGCAGTCCGGATGATGATCTATAAAATTATCTTCTGACACAATCGAGTTTTAGGGCAAAGTAATGAGTTTTTGATGGTGCACTCGATAGCACCCGATAAGGTCACAAGTGGCGGGGCTGATTCAGCGAACTTCCCGCTTGGCAACAGGCTGGAACTCGTTTTGCGGCTGCTTGTGCCACATAAACCGGACAGGACAGTGCCCAAAGCTGTCGTCTGTCAGCTGCCGAAAGTTGCCGTTAACAAAGCGAATGTACAGTCAGCAGCAAGCAGCACCAGGCAGCAGCGTGGTCACGTGAGCAAAAGAGCAAAAGCAAACAAGTTTCGAGCGTCTGAGCCAAATGCGTCATCGCATCGCAGAAAAGTAGAAGGCCTTGCGCAAGTCAAGTCAATAGAAAACAGCTGTTGAAGCTGGAGAAGATTCGACGAGTTTCCGAGCTGGAATTACTCCGAGACACAAAGTTAATGGAAATAGAAGAACAGAAAGCAGAAAGCTGAGGGCTGCTATCTACCAGTGTGCTCGTATGTCTGGGTCTTTGAGCTGCTTTATCAGTTTACGAAATTTCGCATGGTGTGATTTTATTCGCATAAACAACCTAATTTGCTGGGACTCCCATTGTGGTTGTTGTTTACTCAACATTTTTTTTGCTGAATTTACATATTGACTCTTACGCTGGTCGCCTTTTAGCGCTGATCTCAAGCAGCAACAAAACAATAATATTTAATAAACCCGCTCCGGTTGTTGTTGTTTTGAACCCGACTATACGGAAATATTGCTCGTGTACACATATTTTGCGCATGAAGCGCCAACGAGGCCAACTACATTTATATGTACATGTATGTTGGGAAATGATTCATTGAATGTTTTTCCACAAGCCAAGCAAAGGAGGCGAAAAAAACGACTATCAGCTGATTTAGAATGACAATCAGCTGTTCGTTTCCTCTGAAATTGTATCTGCTAATTGCAGGCCATAGCACCCACTGAGGTTAACTGTTGGGTTAATATCGATCTTTGACAGGCAACGAAAAACAGTTTGAGGGCGTGTTTTTATTTGCTTCTCGAGAATTCTAGATTAGAGTAAATTTAGCCAACAGTGGAGTGGAATGGGGCATAATCAGTCATACGGAATTGTCAACAAATCAATAAATTTCGACCAGTTATCGGACGCGTCAGCAAAGAAAAAGAACCATTAAATAAATGAGAATCATCCAAACCGAGAATCAGCGTCTCAGTTTACTGACGAAGCCTTTCTGCAGCCTCAGGCAGCAACCGTTTCAAATTTTCCATGGAAATTTTCCAAATGCACTGCGCAACCACATTCGAGAGACGGGGCGGGACGGGGCGCCGAGGCACAACAGTGCAATCTCCAGCCAAGCTGGCGACGCTCTGGAGGCGTCTGCACGTGCTGTGGGGTTCAGTATCAGCAGCTGGCAGCCCCAAGTACAGTGGAAACTACTTAAAATGAATGAAATGTAACTCACCAGCAAATCGAATCTTGATGAGGTCCAGTGGATGGAGTATAATTGTAGACGCTACACCTCCGGACACTCCGGCCACCAGATGCTCGTACTTGAAGTGGGCCAAAACATTGAATTTCTTAGGACTGCCTGTGGCAGCTGGTCCGCTGGGATTCATTTTGGGATCGATCTCTCTTGTATCTTTGTATTACTGCTATAATCTTAAGTTTTCCTTTTCGCAGAGTTCACTGTGCGCGTGAATTGTGCTATAACTATGTACTACTATTTACACTCTTTGGCTTGAGAAATGCTGCGGACACATGGGCGCAAATCAAAGAAATTCGCTCGCCAATTCGATCTTGTTGCTAGGCGCACACTCTCGGCGGTTCTGGTTGCTGCTGCTGTTGCTGTTGTTGCTGTTGTTGGCGGCCTCACTGCTGCTGATGCTACAGTTGAAACACTCCTGCCTTAGCTTTATTGTTGCCCAGCACATATTTTCCCTTAATTTGTTTCCCAGTGTACAAGACTTTTCTTCAGTCCGAAACTCTTGCTGTGGCTGCGCTCCAAAATGGCTGATGAAATATCTTCAATTGCAGTCAATCTTTGTCCGATTCCCAATTATTTTCGCTTAGCCATTCGCTTCTTATGTAATGCCAAATGCATATCTGTTCCACAGTTTGTGCTGTTATTTCGTACTCTGCCAATCCCAGGTAATGTATTATCTCACTGCTAACTGTTAGGCGCGTGCGGGAGCGTTAAATAACTATTAAAAATTTGTTCGCGAGTCGGGCAAAGATGTGAGAATTAGAGGTGTCAAACCATCGATTGCATTATCGATAGTATCGATGGTTTGCTGCCATTCGCTACTATCGATGGTTTTGCTACTATTCATGATACCATCGAGCTTGTAGCTGTCGTTTGCCCATCTATACTTTGAATTTGGCTATTGTATATATATATGGTAGCTGAAATCGTTAACAATGGACAAGTTCCCGCAACATCGACTGAATCAGAGCGCATGTTTTCCAAAGCTGGGCAGATCATTTCGGAGCGCAGGTCCGCTCTCAAACAAACTTTTGTTTTTAAATAACAACTGGTGGATTACCAATGAACCTGATTTTAGCAAATAAGCGGTTTATAATAAGCGAATTATCTCTATAGACTAAGATTAATGTTTGAAACATTTGTTGCTTACTTTTTAATTTGAACTTACAAATATGAACTTATCTTGAAAAGTAAACGTCATGAATTTATATTTTCAGACTGATTTATGAAACATTTCTTAGTTTTTGAGTTTTGAAAAGGAATAATATGAATAAAACGTTTCATTTTAAACAATTTTTATTTAATTTCGCTTGAAAAATAGCCGTTAAAAGACTTTTTCAATATTAATATATGAGCCCGATACTATCGAGTGTGAACTGGTGATGTAAAAAAACATCAATGCATCGAACATCGATGTTTTTCTGCCGATGTTTACTGATGTTTTCCGATGTTTTTGCTGCTACCGATGTTTGTTTAAATATGAAACTGCGAACGCCGTTAACATCATTCGAAGGCAGCCCGTTGTGTGTTTGGGAAGATTACTGTTCAGTCACAGACATATACCTTATTAATATTACAGAATTGACAGTACAATCTCATACAAAAATACTGATAAATACAATTGTCCATGCCACTTCATGTCAATGAATATGACGACAAGAAAATTACATTAGCAACTAAGAATAGACAATTGCACTTTTAAACTCGAACCCACCAAAAAGGGTGAAGCAATAAACTATTTACTCTATTGCTGCCAAGTACCTAAGTAAATGCACTGAAATGTAACCCCCGCACAGAGTAAGTGTACCCTATCTAAAAATACTCTCACATGGAGCCTGTGCGTTCCTTCCCATACAATAAGTGTACCACTGCTAGTTATATAAGGAGATCCATTTGTTCAATAAAACTCAGTATCAGAAACAGTACCACAACTGCCTGTCACTAATTTTCCCATCGCAATCATCAGGTCCTGATTTCGCGGTCATACATCGATGCATCGAAGAATAAATCCGATGTATCAATTCAACATCGATGTTTGATTTTGACAACATCGATGGACATCGACATCGATGTTTTCATTCAAATTTACATCACTAGTTTAAACTAGATCGTTATCGGATTTATCTATAAAATATACCATCTGACCCTCAGAAATATACCGTCTCATTTAAAAAATCTACCGTAAATATACTGACGAATTCAAGTTCTATTATTCATATTCCCCGTTTTCTTTGTTCCGTCGAATATTGCCAGCTATATAGAGCATTTAGCCATGCTCACATAATTTAATACGATTCATGAATAATTTTTCTACTTAACTGGCTTATTCTAAATACTGGCTTTTATTGCATTTTGCGTAAAAAACGTTTTAGCGAAAAAGGCCAAACAAAAATAGCTTTTAGCGAAAATAGTCAAGCAAAAATAACGAAAGAGGATAGTCATTCATATTGCTAAATTTTTATATTCCGTTGAATAATGTCGGCTAACTAAAGCCTAAAGTTGATGAATAAATTTTCTTCAAGATTGGCTAGTTTTTGATCCTTCATTTCATTGTAGTTTGACTAAAACAAGGTTTAAACAAAATAGTTCAACAAAAAAACAGTCGCAATGCTGTCATGTCAATGTTGCAACCGGTGTATGGCCATTTGTATACCCTATAAATATCACTCTTAGCACATTAATGCTTAAAAAATTCGTGCATAAAATTAGTCACGCACCTAGTTCCGATTTAGAAATTTTTCCATAAGTATACGAACGAAATAAGACATATAAGTCACTGTGGCTATAAGCTGATATGAAGGATAATTCAAAATGCCCACTATCTGCCGCCAACTTTCGATACTATCGCAGAGTCTGCTACTATCGTTGTTTCCAACAGCAAACAGCTGATTTCCAAACACAATTTAAAAATTTTGTTTTCAAATGGGATTGAAAGATTACTACACCTGGACATTTCCAAACATACCTGAGCATGTGGCGTAAGAGTACTGTATCTTCCAGTTTCTACTGTACACAATTGCTTATCTTCAATTAGCCAAGAATTGGACCAGCTGGGCCGGTCCCTCGTGGTCGTTGGAGTTATTGGCCGATCACGATGTGTGCTGGCCAACAAAATGCGGGCCTTTGGGATGGAACCACCTGTAGACCATGAGCCGACTGACGGACAGTTGCAGTGCTATTATAAACCAGGCTCCTCTACTTTGCTGCTGCACTTCGAAACGACCTTCGACGATGCGATTTTGGGTCAGCAGATAGATGAAACCATGGAACAGGACGGGGCCCCGTTCGACTTCGATGGCTTCTACGAACGGATGAAGTGCCGGTTCGTGCGAATGATGCTACTGGCCCTCCACGTCTGCCACATTTTAGTCTACGTGGAGACAGGCCAAACCTTTGATCTCTCTTTGGTGACCATTTTTCAGCTCATGAAGTTCGCCAGAGAACAGCATCTGATGCAGTTTCTGCCCAGTCTCTTGAAGGAGACCCCTGCTGGGAGACTGCTTGGCGAGAAGTGCCGCCTGTGTACCCCCAGGATTCTGTTTCTCTTCGAGAACTTTACCCACGAGGAGGGCAAGACCCGGGAATGTGTGTCTGCCTGCGAATTCCAAACGGAGGACAGCATCTATGAGCTCCTGCGCCACCACCAGATAATTACCAACAGCAGTTCAAGCTCTCTGCTGGCTCTGCCCAACAATAAGCAGTTTGTCTTCTACAATGCCCACGATCAGCTCCATGCAGACAGACTTCTGCAATCCATAGAATTCCTAAACTTGGACATGCGCAAGCTAGATGTCAAAGAAGAGGAGGATGATCTGGAAGTCCTTGAACTGGCCCCCTTCGACGGGTTCGTCAAGTCTTTTGGCGAGTCCTTCGAAAGCACAAATTACGAGGAGCAGCAGTACAAGACAGAGCACACCGCCTGGCACTTTCTGCAGAGGCACGTCCAAGACGCATTGCTAGGCTGCTTCGACGAGGGCTCCTTCAAGCAGGTACCACAAAGGGGACAGCTTCAGTTGCTCAATGCCCAGGAGTGGCACGATTGCATTGCGGAATTGCACAAGCTGCTGGTGAGCAGTGCAGGAACACAGGAATCACTTAACGAGATCCGAAATGAGGATTATGTGAGTTGGTGGCTGGAAGACGGCGTAAAGCGTGTAATCATTCATTCTGGTTCTTTGCAGCAGGTCTTTTTGCAGTCCTTCGATGAGAGCCTAAACTATGAAAAAAAGTGAGTCAGGAATCTTTTAAACTCGGGATTTTCTCTGTTTACTTGATTGCTTTTCAGATTCTGGGCACATCTGTGCGAGATTGGCCTCAAGATGGGCATAGAGGCTTACAAGAAGGCTGCCCCAGCCATCTACGGCAGCTCAATGCACCAGCAATTGCTGGCCGAAGCCACCCTTGCCTTTGAGGAGGAGGGACGCGGACCACCGGCTGAGGCGTCCATAGCCAAGATGACGGCCACCTGTCTCAGGCACTGGCAGGATGGTAGGCAGCAGTGTGAGCAGCTCAGCCTGCGATCCCAGCCCTGTACCCAGCCCAAGGAAATGCCGCATGACAAGCACAACAGTGGAGTGATCCACGTTTCCAGCTGCAATTGTGGCCGGACTCAGGGAAGGAGAGAGGACCCCTTCAGCCTGCGTCAGGCCAACTATGAGTTCTACGAGCACATGGTCAAAATGTGCAATCTTTGTGTGAAGGTCAAGCAGTTCAAGTTTCCCATCTTCGAGCCGACCAACAATGAATATCGGGCAGCGGCATTTGAGGTTGCATTTCCCCTGCTGCACGCCGGGAAGAATCGTCTGGCCCAGGACGCAGAACTAGACCCGGACGAGGAGGATGAGGAACTGCCAACGGGAGAGCGGGAGGAGCAGCACATCACTCAGAGCAATGGCTGTTCCCAGCCCTTGTCCCCCACATTTGGATCGGATCTGAACATGTCCATCGCCGGCTTCGGAGTCTCGCTGAACGAATCAGAACCGTGCTTCGATCAGAGTTCTAGCTCTGAAGCGGAATCCACCTGTAGCGGCACATCCAGCGAGGAGTCAAATAACGAGCTGGTGCTGCAGCTAAAAGAACCCGCCAAAAAGCATGAGGAATCCTGTGATCCCGATTCGATCGCCCCTCTGCCCAGCATGTGCTTGACATCTACCACAGAATATCTCCCTGGCCTGGTGCATACCTTGAGTAAAGTTGGACTCCTGCCTCTGTTCCCCAGCTGGTCACTGGCCTGTGTCGGCCCCAGTTCCATATACAGCCACAACACGGGCCTACAGGAGCATTTCCAAAGCGGCTTCCTCTCCGGCGCCAACTTCCTCCTGCCCTGGGACGTCCAGCTTAGGCTTGTACACGCCTCCAAGCACTATCACAATTCCCACCAGCCGCATATGAGTAAAAAACAGCAACGATATCGCAAGCACGGCGATCGGATGGTGCTGAAAATCTTCGTGGGTTTCGAGTACGAGTGCTCTCGCGGACATCGCTTTATGATGTGCCGTCCGGACCGTGTGCTCCGTGGCGGAGCAGACATCGAGCGGGACACCTGCAGCAAGATGGTGCACACAAACATGCCATTGTACTATCCTTGTCCCTGCCGATCCCAAAATAATTATTTGGCCCAGCTAATGCGTATCCATGTGGTCACTCCCAAGGCTCCCGTCAACATCATCGTCGACCCCAAAGTCTGCATGGGAAAGGACAAGTACACATTCACCTTAGGCAGCATGGTCCC